AAATGATCTTGTATCTTGTGAACTATTGACATTTTTTAAGATATAAGCTCATTCCGATGTTACACTTATCAAGAGCTTTCATTTGAGTACCCACATGCATTTTATATATATGGTATTTGTGAAATATATATATAAATATATAAAATATATGAAAAATTGATGTAGGTACTCAAATGAAAGGTCTTGATGAGTGTAACATCGGGATGAGCTTATATCTTTAAAAATGTCAATAGTTCACAAGATACAAGGTCATTTCTTAATTATTTTAGAATAAATTTTAGGTTACAATTTTTAATGCTGTCAAATTATCATGATTAATAATTAATAGTAAATGTAAATAATTAAAAATATTTAAAAAAATAATTGCAATTTTTTAAAAATAATTTTCTATAATTAATTTATTAAATAAAATGAAAAAATGGTCAAGTATTTCCAAGTGTCATATTGTCTCCTGACTCCAAGAAATCTCAACACTGTCCTGTCACTTTTCAAACAAATAAATTAAATTAAACCAACAAAAATTACTCAAAAAAAGGTAATACAAAAAAAATTACGTAATGTTTATAAAGAATAAACTTACTCGTAATACTTTTTGCGGGTCGACCAATTCGGCATCTTCGTCTGAGGCCTTAACCACCGGCACGAAGCGGGCCATAAAACTCTGCAGGAATGACATTGCCCTAAAAAACAATTTTAATATTACTAAAACCCAACAATTAAATAATAAAAATTACAACAATTATTAATTATTACAATTACAATAATACTCCTCGCGTTTGATCAATCTGAAATGTCTCCACTTCTAAAGATCTAATTTTAATGTCTAAAATTATTGCAGATGTCACTGCCGGCAAATAAAATTTAATCTGAAGTTAGCCGTCAGCTGTCAATTTTAAAAGTTGTAATAACAAATCAATTACAATAAAAAAATGCTTTTAAAAATTTTCACTTATAATTTTTATTAAATTTAACACGTGGAATTTTTCTAATTAAATTTTTTTTTGTAACAATTTAATAGCTATAAAATTTTAAAAGTATTTTTAATGTCTGTTATTAACTTCAGTGTCATTCTACAGTTTAATTTAAGACGTACTTACATATTTTATTATATTTTTAAAATGACATTTAATAATTATTACTTTATTATAATAATAGTAATTAATTTCACTGTTAATTATTTTCAAATAATAATCATAAATAATTATTTAACTTTTATAAAAATATAAATTTCTTGTAAATGACAGCGCCAGTGTCAAAATAGTTCCAAAAAGCGCCACAAGTTTAAATGTGGCGCTGCAGTTTGGAGAAGTGAAAAAGCACTAAGTAGCAGCTGCCATCTTGCCGTAAAATGTGACAACCTATGTACCACTAAATATGTATGTGTGAACAATAAAAATATAACATTAGTATTAGTAAAAGATAATGTTAGCTATACTCGAGATTTACGTTGACAAGTGTGTATAGTTTAGTGATGTGTATTTATGCTGGCGTGTCGCCGCCTGCTGTACATTTCATCAGAAACAAATTCGTAGTCAGAATGAAAACTACACTTTGTTAAATATAATATCTATATATATAAATATATTTATGTGTGTGTAAATACATTAATAAAAAGTGTGTAGTGAGTGTATGTATACGTATATATATATCCAAATAAATCAGCATCAAAGCAAAGAGTACTCTCTGGCAGTACCGAGTTTGTACATAGTTATATATATATTTACAGCCGCAATTATCTCAGTGCATCCAAGACAGCAGAACAACGAGACTGGCCAAAGATTAAGCAAGGAACCTCTAAATTATATATTTTATATTAATAATAAAATAATAAAATAATAAACAAGTAAACCAAGAGACATTTAGTCCTGACGATTGACGATTGACGAGCCGAGTACCAGGTACGGATTTAGATCCCCAGTATTTAAATTGGTACACCAGAGGATGGAATCTGACCGGAATCCTACCTGAAGATCTTCAAGGTTTATCATCAGTTACTACTATCTGGTATTGTAGATAATAAATAGTTAATTACCACATACACTAACTCTAAACAAACGAGGTGTCTTTAACAGTACCTTGGAGGTTATGTAGAATATTTATAGTTTGGAAAACTAGGGTGACATTACGAGTATTGTCCGTGGTAATGTTGACAAATAATTATTAATAATAGTAATAAAATTTAATTATTTTTAATTAACCCGTAGTGGTTACACTTCTTAAAAATAACCTAGTGGTCATACTGGGTCCAGTTGACCCCATGCACGGAAATAATTGTTTTTTTTTTTCAATATTTTCACTCGAGCTCTACATCAGAGTAATTTTTAGCACTTCTGCTTAATAACTCAATCGTTTTTTAATTGTTTAATTATAAAAAATGCGAGAAAGTCAAATTTCGAAAAATTTGATGATAAGTTAGCTGACGTTTTTAATTTTTTTTTTTCAATAATTAAATTAGAACAAAAAAATATTTTTTTTTTAAATTGCACTTACAGTTTTTCAAGTTTTTAACAATTGACAATTTTTTTTTGTAGTCATTTTTTCAATAAAAAAAGTTTTTTTAATTTTTAAATGTCGGCTAGCTAACTTAATTTTCATAAAATTTTATGATACTGAAAGCTGACAATTTTTAATTTTTATAAAAAAACAACAATAAAAAAAATATGAAAATAAAGTTAGCCGACATTTAAAAAATGTTATAATTTTTTTTATTAAAGAATTATTATAAAAAAATTTTTTCATTTGTTAAAAACTTCAAAAACTATGAGTGCAATTTTTAAAAAATATTTTTTGTTATAATTTAATTAATTAAGCAAAATAAAAAAATCAGCAATGTCGGCTAACTTTATTATTATAATTAGCTGACATTTCAAAATTTTTAGAAATTTTTTGTCTAAGAAATTTTAATTAAACAAAAAAAAAATATCACTTGTGAAAAACTTGAAAAACTATAAGTGCAATTTTTTATAAATATATTTTTAGTTGTAATTTAATTAAAAGAAAAAAATTTCAGATGCTAACTTCAGTGTCATAAAAAAATGCTTATAAAAATTATTACCAAAAATTTTTGATAGTCATTTGTAAAACTAGAAAAACAATATGTGAATTTTTTTAGAAATATTTTTTAGTTCTAATTTAATAATTTAAAAAAAATTAAAAACGTCGGCTAGCTTTAGTATTATTTTCTAATGTCTGTTAACTTCAGTGTCATAAAATTTGACTTTTTTTTTTTAACTAAAAACTTCACTTTCTAAGATGAATAAAAATGATCAGGCTTCTACTCTGGATATCCCATACTTTAAAAAAAAAGTAGTGTCATATCGAGCTTTTAAAAAAGTATATTAATTTTTGCAATTGAAATCGTAAATTTCCATGAATCTCAAAATAATTTTAAAACAATAATAGAATAGATGGTACCACAGATACAATTTTGAATGATATCTTCGAAGCAAGAGCAACTGAAAAATTTCCAGGGGTCATTTAGACCCATCAGCTGTCCAATTTAAAAACACAGTAACTGGCAATTTTAATATTTTAAAAAATTTTTCTTATTAAAAAAAAGTTTGATTTTTGAATAAAAAATATTTAAATATAAATATTAAAAAAAAAAAATACTTGAAATTAAAGTCTAGAAGTTATAATAAATACAGTAATACTAAAAACAAATCAGGTATAAAAATTTTGCATAAAAATTAAGTTAGCCGACGCTTAAAAATTTTTGATTTTTTTTTTTTTTTTAATTAAAAACTAGAACTAAAAAACTATTTTTAAAAAATTTCACGGATAACTTTTAAAATTTTCTACATGTGAAAATTTTTGTTTTAATTTTTTAAAAATTATTTTTCAATATAATAAATTATCAAAATTTTCAAATGTCGGCTAATTTAATTTCCATAAATTTTGCAGTTACTGTGTTTTAAAATTGGGCAGCCGCCATAACGACCACTACGAGTCAATTAATAAATAAATCAACAAAAAAAATTTCTTCCACTTTTACCAAAAAAAAATTATTCTTCCAGGTACCAAAAATTGACTTTGACATGAACGGATGATGCCCGGAGGCAATGAACGGTATGGAGAGACATGGACATGGGCATAACCATTCCCATGCACACTCGCACCACAACCACCACCACCACCACCACCACCATCAACCGCATCAACACTCTCAGCATCACCACCACCATCATCAACATTACCAACACCACTCTGGCCATTCTTCCTCGGGCTCTGGCCAGTCAACACCCCAGAGTTTCCCGCCGAAATATGTCCACGGACACAGCTCTCACGCCCGAGAGTCCCCGGTGGTTCCTCCGGGTGGCCAGGGTCCCGGAGGACAACAGCAACCACCTGTCCAAAAATTCAAGAGCTTTAAACTTCTCGTGGACCCATTTCTCGTCAAAGGCGCCCAGAAATTAATCAGATACGACGGAGTGGTCCAGGGCGACCCAACCTGCCCAGTAGTCCAACCTCGAGACCCCCGGTCCCAGCTGACGCGAATCTGGACCCGCCTAGAGCAGCTAGACCTGCCAGTCCCGAGATTTAAAATAGACGCTAATTACTGCGGCGAGCCGCCGCCTCTAGAGGTGACCTTTTGCCACCTAAATGACAATATAGACCGGACATTTTTGGGCGACATGGTTCAGAAGTTCGGTGTGATCGAGGAACTTACTATTTATTACCATCCGGTGACTAACAAGCACCTGGGTATTGCGAGAGTCGTCTTCGAGACGACCAAGGCTTCCAAGGGTTGTGTTGAAAAGTTGAACAATACTTCTGTGATGGGAAAAGTTCTCCGGGTGTTTCTTGACGCGTTTGGTGAAGAGTGTAAAAAAATCTATAACGATTTAACTAAAGAAAAAAAACCTGAAAAAAAAATTGAGAAAGAGGTTATTAAAATAGAGCCTGAAGTCGGCAAGCAGACACCTGTTGAAAAACCGCCGATAAATGATGAGCGTGATGATTATAGAAAAAAAAATACGAGCTTAGAAAAAAGCAGAAATAACGATAGTTATATCGAAAACTCTAGATTCGGAAAATATAGAGACTACCCGACACCTGGCGGCAGCACCAGCAGTGATTTAGGTTATGGAACCACGCCGAGTGATATTAACTACTCGAGCACCTACTCCCAAAGTTCCACACCAGCCTACGATTATTATAACTATGGCTATCACCATCAGCCCAGCAGTTACGTCCCGGGAATCCCCGCGGCACTTCCCCCTCCAGCTCCAGTGGTTCCAACGCCACCTATCCAGCCCAGCGGGCCGGTCTGGTGGCCGGGGAACTCCAGTTACCCGATGTGGCCTTCTCACGTTGCGCCACCTGGAACAATAGAGACAGTACTACCGCCCTCTAAGCCCCCTAGTAAGGTTAAGAAAGACACTAAAGACCCCCAGACGGAATCCTCGCCCAAAACTCCCCGGGATTTAAATTCCCCTGAACAAGCCAGAAAAACTTTAGACCTGGACACGCGAATCGCGATGCTGCTAAAGGACAAAGCCGGTGGGATGGCGCCACCGTTCCTGCAGTTCGGAAGCGATTCTGAGGATGAAAAAAAATCCCACCAGCCTGAGGAGGAGATTCTGTCCAACCCTCCGAGTCCTTTTGTCTCGGAGGACGTTTATAAGACGTGTTTTGATAAAAAGACTGAGCGTATTAAAGACCGCAAGAAGCCTCATGAGAATAATATTGATAAGTTGGGATTAGTGGACGAGGATTTGGGCAGTGTTATTAGTTCCAGTGAAGACGAGGCGCTGCTGGGCAGCTATAGTCCTGCTGCTGTTGACGGAGGGCCTGAACCTCCTAAAGACGCGCCGCCTCCTCCTCCGCCAGATGATGACAGAATGTCGCTTAGCTCGCTGAGTTCTGGGGATGAGAAGATTGAACAGGTTATTGCTCAAGCGGAACCGAGTAATCATTTGTACCCAGGTGGTCATTATCCGGGTCACTTAGCTTACCCACCGCCTAGTGATATGTACAATTGGCCTAGGCCTGCTCAGTATCCGTATCCCTACGGGACTCCTTACATGCCAAGCCAGTATCATTCTTCGGCTACGATTCCCGGGAATCAGACTGGCAGTTATTATCCTAACTTTCATTCTAGACTCGCGATGGCTAATCATAATATTACTAAGGACAATCCTCAGGGCCCGACGATCAATGGCGTGCTTGATCGGGTGGTCAATGAGCTCAAGCAGATTCTTAAGAAGGATTTTAATAAGAAAATGGTTGAGAATACTGCGTTTAAATTGTTTGAGGTCTGGTGGGATGAAAAGAAGAATGAGAAGGATGCTAGTGAGGAGGTTCATGTAATTAGTGCTGTTAAAGAGGAGCCTGCTAAGCCCACGACTAATTTCTTGGAGCAAGCTGTCCCAGCTGGGTTTAATTATGATAGCTTCAGTGGAGTCGGGCTTAGAGCTACTATGCCCAAGATGCCCTCGTTTAGGAGGAAGGTCAAAGCTCCCAGTCCGCCTCCGCAAGACGAGGACAGTAGGCAGTCCGATAGGATGGACACTGAGCTTATTGACAGTGATAGTGATCTTGATTTCTCGGAGACTTCGCTTCCTAAACCCAAGAGAGCTATTTCTAGTGCCTCTTCTATCTCCAGCTCGACTTCCACGGCGAGTTCAGGGTCAGGGGCAAGTTCTAGCTCTAGTGATAGTTCGGATGACGAGGCGGACTCTGATAGCAGGTTGTCGGATCACAGGCCGTTGGCGAGGGATAGTCAAGACCCGGAGATTCTGATGGAGCTGGCCATTCTCAGGTCCTTGGATTGTCCAACTCCCAAGGGGAGGGAGACTCCGATTCCTGATTTGGAGGTCGGGCTGGATGATTGCTTGTCGGAGGTCAATAATGAGGCTTATCCGGTTGCTAGTCCGGGGAGAGAAAGGGTGAGTGATGAGGGTGCTAGGGTCGAACCTACTAGGGATATTCAGAAGATGGAGAACTCTGCTGCTGAAGCACTGATGACTCTTGCGGGACAGGATAATATTATCAGGCACAAGAGCCCTGGGCCTATTGAGCCGAATATCATCAGGGCTATTGAAAGTATGTCTGAGAAGTATATCAATAATCAGCCGATTCTTAAGGAGGCTGAGAAGATTGAGATGTTCAGTGAGATTCCGAGTACTGATTCGGAGGAAGAGGAGAGCTTGGCCATTCGCAGGCTTAGGTATCAAGCTGAGTCGGAGTTGAAGATGAATGGACAGCGCAGTCCTAGTACTTCTAGTTCTCAGGTGAATTATTTTATTAGGAGTATTTTTATTGATAGGGTTGATTAATTATTTTTTTATTTATTTATTTAATTATGCCAAGGCATTTACAAAATAATTATTGCATTAGTAGATACAATATAAAATTTTAAATATAATTAAGATACTTATGATTTATTATAATATCCCAAGCGGCACAAAAATTTTTGATTGGTAATATTTTGTTGAATTTAAATTGACAATTATTAATTTTTGACTTGTTGTTTGAATAAAATTTACCAAGTCAACAGTTTTTTATGTGACGCTTGGGATGATTTAATTTTAACATGATTTTACTTTTTTTGAAAATTTAGTAGTACTTTTTTTTAATTAGTATTTTTTCGAATTTTTAAATAATGATTTTTTTTTTTGACAAAAATTAATTATATCTTTTTAAATTATTAATTTGTTTTTTAAGTTAGATTTTTTATTGCTAATTTTTTTGTTAATAATATTTTTAATTTAGAAATTGAAATTTTAAAAATTAAAAATTTAACGGACTAATTATTAATATTGGAAAAATTAGTGTTTTTTTAATTAGATAATAATTTTTTTTTTCTACTTTTAATTTTAATATAAAATTTTTTTTCTTGTCAGGTATCCCAAGTGTTCATCGAACACTCATATTCTCTTCCACCACCAACTGCCGAGCCTTTATCAGCAGCATCAGCAGTACCAGCACCAGCACCAGCACCAGCACCAGCACCACCAGCAGCGCCAACGACGTCGCCAACAAAACCAAAACCATCTCCAGTGAAACCCAAGCCGGAGATTCCAAGAGAGCCAACGGAGAAGAGGAAGTACAACAAGCACTCTAAATTAACGACGAAGAATCACGAGCAGATCCACGAAAAGGAGAACATAAATGACAAAATGTTCGCGTACGAGAAAGAAAGGTTGCAGAAGAAGTTCCCGGAAGCTCTGACGATGAGCTACAAGGAACGCGACATAATGGCGGAGATGGGAGTCCTCTACGAGTTCCTGACTCGCGGAATCGACCACGAAGACATAGAGTACCTGCGCCGGAGTTACGAAGCCTTGCTGGCGAACGACACTCAGGGCTACTGGCTCAATGATACTCACTGGGTGGACCACCCGGCGACTGATATTCCCAACCCGGCGAAGAGAAGAAAGCGCGACGAGGTGAGAATCCACGCGACGGGAAGCGCCAGGACTGAAGGGTTCTACAAGGTCGACGTCCGGGAGAAGATGAAGCACAAGCATCATTATGCTCAGAGTATCCAGCGGTCCAATGATGTTGAACTGACCAGCGTTTATGCCACCGGGGAAGGAATGGCTAATGGACCCAAAGGAAACCTCAAGGGTCTTACTGGAAAGATGCAGGCACTTAGCAGAGAAGCTAGGAGCAATCAGAGAAGGCTACTTACCGCTTTTGGTATTGATACTGACAGTGATCTGCTCAAGTTCAATCAATTGAAGGTTCGTAAAATTTATTTTTTTTATTTAAATTATTTATTCATTTTTTAAAATAATTTTTGGGATTATTTTTTATTTTTTTTTTTTTGGATTTTTGATTATTTTTTTTTTGCAGTTCCGTAAGAAACAGCTCAAATTCGCCAAATCCGGCATCCACGACTGGGGTCTCTTTGCTATGGAGCCAATAGCTGCTGACGAAATGGTGATCGAGTATGTTGGACAAATGATCAGACCAATCGTTGCTGATTTCCGTGAATCTCAGTACGAAGCAACTGGTATTGGAAGTTCCTATCTATTCCGTATCGACCTGGACACTATTATTGATGCTACCAAGTGCGGAAATTTGGCACGGTTTATTAATCACAGTTGCAATGTATGTATTTTTATCAGTCTAATAATTAATAATAATGACTATTAATCTCATGATTGTAATTATAATTACAGCCAAATTGCTACGCAAAGGTAATAACGATAGAGAGCCAGAAGAAAATTGTCATCTACAGTAAACAACAGATCGGTGTTAACGAAGAAATAACGTACGACTACAAGTTCCCACTGGAAGATGACAAGATTCCTTGTCTGTGTGGAGCTCCGCAATGTCGTGGTACCCTTAACTAGAGCGAGATAAGACAAATCAAACACAGTTTAACAATAATAATAATAATAATAATAATAATAATAATAATAATAATAATAATGATAAGTTTGTTGTTATTGTTGTTGCTTATAATGATGAGTACTCATCATCGTCATCAAGATATCTACTGTTCTTCTCAGCTCTAATGATCATCCATCATAAATCGTGATCGTCATGAATCATACTGTCCAATTATCGTATATCCCACTCATATTTTTGTAAATAAACCCCCTATGTAAACATTTTTTAAAAATGCAATTTTCAAAATGCTAATTGAAGAGTAATTTAATTATTAAACGAGGAGGATCCTTTATTCTTTGATAAAAAAAAAAAAATATACATATATTATTATAAATGAAATTTATTTATTATATCTGATTATTGTTTTCTCTTGAACAGTTATAAAATAAGTGTAATTTTTAGTAATTAATATTAAATTTACGTGAATTTTTATAATCTTTTATAGATTCCTGAGTTGTTCAGTCTCTTGTTTGTTAACTTTTAAAAGCAAACAAGTTGAAAAAAAATCTTTTAAATCACAATAGTAGTTATCTGTACGCAAGGGTTCGTGCCTCTTCGGCATTATGAAAATTTTCGTAGGCACTTGCTACTAGTCCATTAGCAACATTCATGCCCCAAAAGGGCGATATTGGCGAATATAATTTTGGGCGTTTTCTGCGTTTACCACCATAGTTCTCTGAGTGCGGTAGAGTACAAATCCTGCCGACGATCCGACTCCTCCATTAGTGAAGCTACGTTACGGCAGTTATCCAGTTTAATTATGTCGTTTATTGTCTCCCTGCAATAGTTTAGTAGCTCTGGACCAACTAATTTAAACAAACCTTGCGCAGCTTTGACTTTAGCAATATAACATAGCTCACGCCCGGTGAAGCTAGACGAGCGACGCTGATTGAAAACTCTAATGCTCTAATGCGTGGATTAATCAACAGCGCCAAGTTATCCAAATCTTGATGAACTCTGGTACAAATACAACAATGGTTTCTGGGCTGATTAGCTACAAAATAAAAAAAAATACAAAAAATAAATTATAAAAAGACGAAGAAAAAAAAATTGACATATAAAAATTTGAAGATGTTAAAAATGGAATTTTTAAAAATAGTTTTTATAACCTAATTTAATTCACATATAATAAAATTAAAAATTGACAAGTGACAGATCACTCAAATGACATTATCAAAAAATTATTTCTTTACATATCAACGGAAATTGGTTATTCATGACTAAATTTTTATAAATTAATGAATAGAAATTATTAAGTATAAAATATTTATTTACTAATCTCATAAATAAGCAGTTTATTTTTTAATTAAATTTAGGGGGTGCCACAACTTAGTCCTAACAGAGACTATACAAAACGTAATGTTTTTAGCAAGGTGCAATATCCCAAACGTTTGGTATCGAGATAAGCACATTTAAGAAATGTGACACTTGCCGAAAATTAGTTTTCATAAACGTTACGTAATCCTAAAATGTATATGCTAGAAATGTGATGTCTAAAGAACGTTCATGTTAAGAAACGTTATACTTCAAAAATGTAAAGCTTCTAAAAGCGATAGCATCACAAG